AGATCTCGGAGACCTCGACGAAGTCATCCCACACCCACAGAAGCCCTGGACAAGGGATTCCGAGAACCCCAAGCAGCAAGAACCTGACTTCAACACCACCATCGACGACCTTCTCAAAGAAGACGACGACCCAGACGAACCACTCCCCCCACCCCGCGAAGCCGAAGACAGCGAAAAGCCTCTAAGCAAACCACACAACCTCCTCCTCCACATCATCCAATCCATCCCATCCCACCTCTCCTCCCCATCACCCTACCTCCGCCGCTCCCTCCTGACCATCCTCATCGATGTCTTCCCCACCCTCGCCGCGCACGAAAACAGCTTCCTCCCACTAATCAACGATCTGTGGCCCGCCGTATCCGCCCGAATCAGCTTCCCATCCTCCCTGACCACCTCACAACCAGCCACAGGTCCCAAATCCACCGACCTCATCACCACCACCCTCAAACAATCCCCCACCGAATTCTCCTTCCAAGAAGAAACCTTCGTCACCACCACAGCCTGCAAAGCCATAGAAACCATGTGCAAATCCGCCGGCGACTTCATGGCCTCGCGCATTGAGACCGAATTTCCCCGCTGGGAGCGGCTCTACACGCGCGTATGGGACAAAGTCCGTCAAGACGCCGAAAAGGCCATGGAAAGACGAGCCCAACAACAACAATCCCTATCCCAATCCCAACAAGACACAACCACCACCACCACCCTATCAACATCAACATCACCATTCACCCCCTCCCTCTCCCTAACCACAACCGGCACCCACGGCACCCGCACATTCACCCCCCACCACGCCCTCTGGCGCGCACTAGTGCCCCTATTCATCACGCTCCTCACGCACGTCCGCCTGCCATTATCCATCGGGGACAAGATCTGCGAGTTCCTAGCGGCCTGGATAGTGCGGTATGCTGGGCCGGAGTATTACTCCTCCCGGACGCGGAGCGATAAACCTACTACTACTACTACTACTACTACTACTACTACTACTACTCAGCCAGCAGAAAGTGCAAGCGCAACATCTTCTCTAAGCGTGGAAATCGACTCGATTGAGAATGTCATCCGGGCTATGGAGACGTGGAATGCCGATCTAACCTGGTTTATCTTCCAGGAGGAGAGGGCGGCGGTCAGGCGGGTCGTGGAGAAGAATAGTAAGAGGACTACTACTTCTACTGCTGTGACGACAAGGGGTCAGGCTCGAGCGCCTTTGATTTGTGAGGTGGTTGAGGAGGAAGAGGTGACATTGAAGGGTTGGTCTATGCCGGGGACGGGGTTGAGGTTTGCGGAGGTGGCGTTTTAGGTATATCACAGTGAAAAGGTTGATGTGTTTGGAGTTGTTTCAAGGGTGTAGATAGAAAATAGAACTACTTGTGTATTTTTTGATGTCTGGTTCGGTAATACTTGTAGCGAGTGGTGGCTCCTGTTCTTCCCAAGGTATTCAGTCGAAGCGACGGAGATGGAGAAGTGGAAGGGGCTATTGATTCTAGTATCAAATACAAGAAAAAACGTATGGTCTACTGGAAATAATGATGATTAAGGCATAAATATGCAGGGCGATTGATTAGCAGCTACCTAAAACCAATGTTTTTTCGTTGAGCTTATTTCAAACTTCTGGAACAAACAATAGGCAGAGCGAAACTATCACATCCGAAAGGAGCGGAGATCAGTTGGAACGAAGCAATTACGCGACAAAATCAATAGGTCCCGAAAATTGTCCACTGAGCAGACAGACGACACGGCAAGCCGAGCCACTGATCTACTCGCTGTCCTCATCGCTCTCTTCCTCACTCTCGGCGTTCTCGAGCCATTCGAGGAAGGGTTCGGCAGCCTTGCGGACCTTCTTGCTGGTCGAGATATCGACGTACTTCTTGCTAGCCTTGGAACCCCAGGCCTTGAGGGTCTCCTCAGAGACGAGGTCGTGCTCGTAGTACTTGAGCAGGACAGCGGGGACCTGGCTGATCAGCTCAGGGTGATCCTTGCCAACGAAGCGCTCGGTTCCACCAAGGAAGGCCTTCTCGTGGCGCTCGGAGGTGATCATCTTCTTCAGCAGGGCAGCACGGGCAGGAACCTGCTTGGCAATCTTCTCATCGAAGATGGTCTGGGCCAGAACAGCAAGGGTCTTGTGCTTGTTCTCAATGCCATACTCCTTGGCCTTCATGTAGATGTCGACGTCGCTAACAGCGGTGACACCGCCCTTCTCAGAAGCGGCATTGAGAATCCAGCTGCCAAGCTCATCGTAGGCAGAGGGGCCGTCGGCACCCTCGTCATCACCATCCTCGAGGACCAAGGAGCGCTTGAGATCATCGGGAAGCTCCTTGGCACGAGCCTTGACGGCCTCCTCCGACACGTCAACGGCCCATTCATCATCATCGATCTCCTCGGCCTCGATGTCCTTGGCACCGGCCTTGATACGGCGAGTGAGTTCGTCATCGCTGCCTGCTTCCAGGGCGACATCGTTCTCCTCATCACCGTTCTCGGAGTTGTTGCTATCTCCGGGGCTGCCATCCTTGTCGCCATTCGCGGTGTCATTCTTATCCTTGTTTCGATCACGACGGGCCTTCTTCGAGGCCTTGTCCTTCTTCCCTCCCTTGCCTTGCGCGCCGTTGCGGATGATGAAGGTGCTCAGTTTCAGACGGGAGTCGACCTCGGAGCGCTGTCCACAGGCCTTGCAGTCCAAAAAGATCTTTTCATCCTTGATGATGACATCCGTTTCCGGATTCTTGCATTTCTTGCACAGCACGAACTTGGAGATAAAGCCATCCAGATAGTCCTGAAGCTTGGGGGCATCATGGGCACCGTTGATGATCCAGCGATCATCGGTGGGCTTGGCGTTGGCCTGAGCACCCAGCTCAAAGCCAAAGTACTTGATCACGTAAGACGGAGGGCGACTGAGCGACTGAGCGACTGAGTTCAAGTTGACGACAACGGTCTTGATACCGTTGCCCTTGCCCTCAATCTTGGACTGGAGGCGCTCCATCTTGTAACGGTAGAAGGGATCGGAGACATCCCGACGAATGTTGACAGTGGCCATGATGACGGTTGGTTGATTGGTGAGATCTTCAAGAGACTAAACGAGATGGTTATATGAAGAAGAAGCGGGAGGGATTCTGGACCAGGAATATCTTGACAAAACAAGACATGCGTGGAATATTCCTAGTTTTGGTGGAATGATGGCGGTTGTTGGGATCGAATTTTTTTCAGTTGAATCGAATGATGGACACAGCGAATACGGCAGCCCTTAGCTTTCAGCCACAGGACTTCGAATGTATACTACAAGGTTTCGACGTGAAGCGAAACGATTGCAGCTTGAGCGGCAGGTGGTGATCGAGATCTCTGACGCAGGACGAATACATAGACAAGTTCTCGACCGACTCTGTTTTTTAGTGGCTTTCTCCGGCAGGAAGAGAGAGAAACCAACGGGTGGTTCTTCTGTTGAGCAGGAAAACAAGACGATCCGGTTAGCTTCGTAATACTGATGGAGGCCTGACAGCAGGGGCCGGAGGGGGGAGGGAAGGGAACTAACCAGAGTGGTTTGAGCGTGAACAAAACGTGTGGGAAACCAGCAGGCGAAAGTGGTAGCCTGGCGGAAAGAGCTTCTAATACGCAAGAGCGTTGCAAAGCTGATGAGATAGTGATGAGAAAAACCTGAAAGGTGGATGAGTTGGAAAGTGGGTGGAAGAGGGAAAGAAGAGAAGAAGAAGAAGAAGAGAAGAGAGAGAGAAAAGAAGGAAAGAAAGGGAAGTGAAAGCCCAAACAAAAAAAGGGAAAAGTCCGAGCCGATTTGCTAAGGCTCCCAACCAGTAAAATTCGGAAAAAACGGCGAGTGCAAAAAAGAAGGAAAAAATGCGCGCGTCTGAGTCAGCCGAGGCATCTCCAGGCGCCACTTTCATTAAGAAAAGTCTCATATTGTTCGAGGGCAATAGTAATACTATCTCCATATTAATTGTCTCGGTCTTTTTTTTTTGTCTTCTTGTCTTCGCTCGCTTCACTCGTACTTCCCCAATAATGTTTACTCTAACTGGACCTTCTCCTTTTCTTGGGAGAGGAATCAGTGTCACTCGGCTTGTCCACTTGCGAAGAACCAGGTCGCACATCATTTGGCTTTGTGTCTGCTAACGGCGTACAGACAATGCTGTCCTTCTCCAGTGGAGCCCATTGGTCATGTCAAGCCCAGTGCTTCGGGTCCGACTACTAACTACTAGTAGCGTGCACGGCGTCTCTTTTCAGTGTGTTTAGACTTTAGAGTGTAGAGACTTGCCAGACTACCTTTGATAGTAGTATATCTGATGACTTCACCATGCTTATACTTTCCGGTAGTAGAGATACAATGGGATTGTCGTTGCCTGTCCGAATCCCAAAATGTACCCCTGCATTGGCCTGTCTGCTATTTAAAACTGGATACACAGGCTTAGGCAACTTTTGGGGTAACTTTCGGGTAGTCGGTGTTCTCTAGGTAGGTATTTTGGTCTGTACTGTGCGACCGTGTGAGCCTGCACAATTCGATCATTGGTCCAGGGTGAGAAGCACGAGCAGACGCCGGCCATCGGCGGAGCACTGTCGCCATCCGATGTGGAGCCAGGAGTTTCAGCACAACACCAACTCTGATGCATCAGTAACTTTCACTGTAGCCATGGGGTGAAGTACTTAATGATGCAGCTGGCCACTTAGCATTCCCTGATGCATCTGTAGGAGGTGCTAGCTCAAGTATCCCTCTTGGTAGGTTCGTGAGCAGACATGATTGATCCTGAAGTAAACCATCAATTTCATTACTGAGAATAGCCATATCAACAGCAAAATTTAAGGCGTTAGCACTAGTGACTAGCTCCAACGTCCTTTAGGTCGTGCATTAAATATAATATAATTTAAACATGGTATCATTGTGTGAGAAGACATGAAGGTAACAATTATCCTCACCCCCATAGTGTAGACAGAAGCGAGAGAATGGGAGCAGATGATGTCGAAGGTTAGCCATGACTAACTTCGGCCGTGACCCCCACTCTTCCCAACACCATCCAAGTCTCGCTTGCCTGTGACTCGTGGGCCTCCAATATACTGTTGTGACAATCGTGGGACTCGTACTATCAGTAAATTGAATATAGCCGGTGAGTACTATTGTCTCGTCCACTAGATCCCACCAAAGTGGCAGTACTCAGTCTAGTGTGTGCGTCACATGAATCTAACCAGAGCCCAACCAGTTCCCACAAAATGACTCTGGATCTTTCGGTATACCTGGTCACCGACTCAACCCCGGCCATCCTCAAAGGTCGTGACCTGTGTGCAGTCGTCGAGGAAGCTGTCAAAGGAGGTGAGTTGTTCATTGTCGCGGAATTTTCTTACCACTGACGACTGGTTGTAGGTGTGACGATTGTCCAATATAGAGACAAGAAAAGTGACACGGGCGTCCAAGTAGAGACCGCCAAGAAACTGCACCAAATCACCAAGAAGTACAATGTCCCTCTGCTGATCAACGACCGTGTGGATGTCGCTCTTGCTGCTGGTGTAGAGGGTGTCCACTTGGGTCAAGATGACATGGGTATGTCTGGACCTGATTCGTCTACTCGCCGTATTCTAACTGTTCGTAGCTATCGAGGTAGCCAAGAAGCTTCTCCCCGAGAACGCTATCATCGGCATCAGTGCCTCCTCCATCGAGGAGGCGCAGAAGGCTGTTGCTGCAGGTGCCGATTACCTCGGAATCGGCACCATGTTCGCTACTCCGACGTACGACCCCGAGCAGCCTTGAAATGAAGTGTGCATGACTGACGAGAGCAGGAAAACCAACACCAAGTCCATCATTGGCACAGCCGGAACCCAGGCCATTCTTGAAGCCATCTCGGAGTCGGGCCGCAATGTTGGAACTGTCTCCATTGGTGGAATCAACGCTTCCAATGTCCAGCGCGTTCTCTACCAGTCCCGCGCTCCCCATAAGGCCTTGGATGGCGTTGCGATCGTCAGCGCCATCATGGCTGCAGAAGACCCGAAGGCCGCGGCTGCTGATTTCGTGAAGCTCGTCTCAAGCCCTCCCCCTTTCGTCCGGAGCGAGACTGTCACCCCTGCCCGTGAGACCTCCGCACTGCTCGAACAGGTGCCTCAGGTGGTCCAGGAAGTCGTCAAGAGCCACCCCCTGGTACACAACATGATCAACTATGTTGTGGCCAACTTCGTCGCCAACATCGCGCTATCCATGTATTTCTTCCCTGCAGCTCCCATGCAACGAATGACCTTTACCAACGATATCTAGGGGCGCTTCGCCAATCATGTCACCGTACGGAGACGAAGCCGTCGATCTCTGCCAGTTCGACGGTGCCCTAGTCATCAACATGGGCACCCTCACAAGCGAGAGCATCCCCAACTACCTGAAAGCCCTGAAAGCATACAACGTGCGCGGCAACCCTGTGGTGTACGACCCCGTGGGTGCCGCAGCCACCAGCATCCGACGTGGAGCCGTTACCCAGCTCATGTCCGGCGGGTACTTTGACCTCATCAAGGGCAACGAAGGCGAGATCCGGCAGGTATATGGAAGCAGCGGCGTCACGCAGCGTGGTGTCGACAGCGGGCCCAGCAACCTCGACAGCCACAAAAAGGCCCAACTGGCGCGTGATCTCGCCAGGAGAGAGCGTGAGTTCACTACACTAATTGACAAAATATAGCTAACCCCAGTAGACAACATTGTCCTCCTCACCGGCGCCACCGACTACCTCAGCGACGGAGAGCGCGTCGTCGCAGTCTCCAATGGCCATGAGCTTCTTGGCCAAGTGACAGGCGTAAGTCCCCACGAGCTATTACAGACAGTATGCTAACAAAGAAATCCAGACCGGCTGTGCCGTAGGCACCGTCTCGGGTGCCTTCTTGACCACGCACCCCAAGGACAAATTCCTCGCCGTGCTTTCCGGTATCTTGATGTACGAGATTGCCGCCGAGAACGCGGCATCCAAGGACAACGTAAAGGGACCGGGCAGTTTTGTGCCGGCGTTCCTGGACGAGCTGTATGCCATCCGCCAGGCAGCTCTGAAAGGCGACCACAGCTGGTTCGCCGGACGGGCAAAGGTGGAAGAGATACAGCTGTAATTGGGATAATTTGGATATAAAATTAGACTGATCTATAGACTTGGAGATTCAAAAGCAGTTGTCATAACTTCATACTTAGGATAAGCTGTATACAAAATCATGCCTGATAACACAGGCACCAATTTCCCCGCACCTGACCTCCAATTCTCGTTGTCTTCCCCGCTTCTCCTATCTATCTCATCTCATCACAACTACATCTCTCCCTCAACCAACAATTCCAAACCCATTGAACAGACCCAAACAAATCAATCAAAATGGCCTCCCTATCCCGCGTAACCCGCATCAGTACGTTCACCACCCTACCCCCTTTCACCACTAAGCAAACCAACTAATAAACCCCCGAACCAGACAACCCAGCCCTCTTGTACGCCTTTCCCAATCCCCTTCCACACCCCCTAACAGCCCCCTAACACCACCACCAAAACCAGTATCTGCGACCTCCAAGAGAAATTCCGCAATGCCATCTACGAATTCCCCAAAGTGTACGCCTACGCCTACCCCCTCACCCCTCTTCCCTTCCCTAACCACCACCACCTAACCAACCCAACCAACTCCATAGTATAAGCACAACAACCAAACTCCTCCGCGCCAGCACCCCCCTCCAAATCCCCATCTACATCACGACCCAAAGCAGGAGCAAACTCGGACCTACAGTGCCCGAACTAACCACCCACCTAACCTCGAACCCACTCGTGCGCGCCGACCTGGACAAGACGCTTTTTTCAATGATAACGCCCGAGATGGAAGCGGTGCTCCCCTCCCCCGAGAAAGGAGAAAAGGCATTGGATGTGATCATCGTGGGAATCGAGACGCATATCTGTGTGTTGCAGACGACGATGGATCTGCTTCGTCGAGGACACCGGGTGTATGTGTGCTTGGATGGGGTGAGTAGTGTGAATAAGGAGGAGAGGGGGGTTGCGGTGGCGAGGATGAGGGATGCGGGGGCGATTGTGACGACGAGTGAGAGTTTGTTGTTTGAGATGTTGGGGGATGCTGGGCATGAGGGGTTTAAGGGGGTGAGTGGGTTGGTTAGGGAGATGAAGGAGGAGACGAGGGGGGCGGTGGAGGGGTTGGCTAAGATTTAAGTAGGGGGTTTATTATATAGTGTGTGTATGCTACGAGGGAGGTATATAGTATGCGGTACGTCAATTAGACTGACTGTCTCAAGTCATGGAAGAGATATACAAGTAACTCCCTAATTTGTTTCATTTAGGGGTCATTGCTGTCCGACCCGCTGGCTGCGTGGTGTTGAGCCAGCCAAATGCAGACGCCCCGCCAACTGGATTGCTGGGCCACTGCTTGCTCGTGCGTGTCCCGTCCGGCGACGCTCGGGTCGACGCGGGCTGGGATGGCCCTGAAGCCGCCGCATAGTCGGTACCAGAACTACTAGGAACGGTTGTGGCTGTAGGCACCCGTGTGGAAGATTTCGTGGGCCGCAGTACTTTCATCGTACGGCCACGGGTGGCTTTGCCCGTAGCAGAAGCGTTCGGGTCTGGCTTGGATTCGCGTTTCCACGAGCCCCAGACTCCGGCTGCCTCCACCCGTGCTGGGCCACTCGCCTGAGTGTCGACTTCTGTGGCAGACTTCGGTTCCTTTTGGGTATCAGTGTCCGTTGACACCTCTTGGGTCTCCGGAGGAGCCTTTCGACTCTCCTCGGAGCCCTCAAGAGATTCTCTTGCGGAGGCAGACGTGGAGGTAGCCCGGCGAGAGAGGCTGGGAGGACGTCCAATCACGCCAAACGTTGCGTGGCCGTTTGTATCCGCTTGGATGTCCTCGTGGACAGAACGAGTATTCCGCCCGGCGCGGGTGGCATCGGACATCGTAGACAGCGACTTGAAGACCGAATCATCCTCGGGGCGCACCAAGGGAATGGATATTTTGTTCCTTTCATCGTCGACCATGATGATCTTGTCTTGTGAAAACAGCACATCAGCGTTGTGGGACCGGAGGACATCGCTTCCCAGGACAATCTGGATCGCAGTATCGCCGGGCTCGACCTCGCGAACAAGGAACCGAATGGTCAAAGTAGGCACCTGAGGTTCGGGGCTGCTGGACCGTGAAGAGGCTTGGTGCACACTAGCTTCGGGAAGGTAGATTGGGAGCTTGATGTACTGCACATCACCCTCGTACACAACTTGATCTGCCAACCCGAGTGTCTGGACCATCGGGTATCCTAGTGTCGAAGTATACGAGCCCGAGCAGACAGCAGCATACAAGAGAGAGTCATTGGAGAAGGTTGTAGTCAGCCAGCACCGAATGATGCATGGCACAGGGCCCAGAAGGAACAGTCCAGGCGGAGGAATAAGAGGCGAACCACCGACAGAGCTCATCATCCTGCTAGTCGTTTCAAGTCCCAGGCTGTTGGTACGAGCAGAGTGGTGGGAGTGTCCGGATGAGCTTTGCCTCCCATCTGACCGATGAGACAAGGACCGCTCTGTCAGGGGATGGCTCCCGAGACCGCTGCCGGTGCGGAGTGGCAGCTCACTGCTAGATCGATTGGCCTGCCCGTAGTACCCATGGATGGCACTTTCGTCGAACCTCACACTGTTTGCCCTGGAAGTGCCTCGTCGCGGCTCCTCCTCGTTGTCGAGACCCATTGTAGAGACGGCCCCGTGATGGTGTCCCTGATCGAATCCCTTGAAAGCGTCCGCGGGGGTATGGAAGACCGGCTCTACAGAAGACAGCGCATCAGCCATGCTCGAACCACATGCTTGCGAAGATCCAGAAGAAGAAACTATCACACACCTGTGGGGATTGTGCCCCCAACGGAGCTAGGAAACGGCGACAACGGACCCCAAACACTCCTCAGCTTTGCATCCTCGTCCCTCCGTCGTTCCAGTCTCGCGATACGCTCCGCCTGTTCGAACTGTGTGGCGTGGAGCTCCTTCAGCTCTTCGAAAACGCGCCAGATATCGTCGCGGGAGGCAAAGGGATACTGGGCATCCATATCCAGACGGAAGTAACACGAGACGCTGGATGGTGGGGACACACGAGAACGTCAATCGATATAGAAGGCTGAAAGATATCTACCAGACCAGACCGACCAAATCCGTTGACCAATCGATAGTATTCACTTCTCCGCAATAACTATCCTAGCCCAGCTGCTTCTGATAGCCCGCTTTGTCCTCAAATCCTCCTCCCTCGTGCTGTGTGACGGCCAAACGGCCGTCCACCCGGTTTGCTAAGAACGAGTATCCGCGAATCCGATCAAAGACATATAAAATATGTAATGGCGGAAGTACTGTGGTAAGAAGACTTGAGCGATCGTGCCACACAAACGACGGCGGCGGGAAGGAAGCGGAAAGCGTTTATGGTATATGAGGACGGAAGTTGGCCCAAGATGGTGGGGATGCGGGATAGAGCCAGGCGACAGCGGAGTTGTTCCAAGGTTCACAGGGTTGCTTATAAAGAGCCGTAGATGAAGATGTTTTGTGGGAGAGCTGTACTAGAGACAATATAATGTCGTTCGTGCGATGGTCGGCTTTCGTGAAGGGGATCGAGGGAGGCGAGGAATGGGCGGAGGATTTCTGGGGAAGTTCTTTGCGAAGGAAGGAGTCGAAGGAAAAGAATGTCGCTAAAAGAGAGGCAGAGGCAGAGGCAGAGGCAGAAACACTTTTCTTGGTCGTGAGGAGGGTGGAGCGGAGAAATGGTCGAGTAGATAGCAGAGAGGCACAGTGGAGAGGAAGAAGACAGAATGGGGGGAAGAGAAGTTGCAAGGCAGGAAGTTGCCGTCGGACCGGATTTCATGAGGGGATCGCAATCCAACGCCCGCCAGCCAACCAGCGGCCGCCATGCACTGGATCTAGACCGCTTTCATCCAAAGCCTTATTTTGCTACTATTCATTCTTTGTCAATGGAGCCAAAGACAGTGAACTCGACAGGTCCTTTGCTTCTGATTTGAAATCCACGTTCACGGTGAATTAAGTTGACTGCAACAGTACTATGTTCTATCATATTCCACGCTTGTGCATCGGTTCTCTTGGTATTTATTCTAGATGATCAGTTCTCTATATATTATCCACCATTCAAAGCAGTATACCACACAGCAAATGAGACGGCACTCCTACTAGTAGCACTAGCACGAGCATCTTCAACGATCCAAGCTGAGCCCCTATTTCGGCGCCAACGCCCAAGGAGGGAACACATAAGGAAGGTTCTCCGGCACCTGATCAGTCCAGCTCTCCTGAATAGTCTTCATAACCTCATCAAACACAATGCGATACCCATTCGCAGCCAAATGCAAGCCATCCGTAAACAGACTAGCAAACTTGGGATTCTCAGGCAAATCCCTCGACCCAACCAGCGGCTGACCCTCCTTCCACCCAACAGACGACATGAACGCGCTCCAGACGTCCGCTACAGGCAGACCAAACTCTGCAGCAACTTCGCGCGCAGCCTGACCGTACGTCCTGGTGTGCGCGTTGGTCCGAGTCGGATGGGGTTTCCCCTTCATAGCGTCAAACCCGGCCAATTGGTACTCGTTGATTGGGGGAGGAGTGATGATCATGATGCGGGGATTCTGGGCCTTTGTGAGGGGGTGCTGGATGATGTTTCTGAGGTTTTGCTTGTAGGTCTCAATGGGGACGTGCTGCTCGAAACCGGGGAGACTGGCGTCGTTGGCGCCGAGCCAGATGGTCTGGATTTGTTTGTTAGTTATGAGGGTTATGGGGAGGGCGTGTGCTGGGGGATGAGTACCATGAGTCGGACGTTGGCGCGCTCTGGTGAAGGGAAGCACTTGGGAAAGGCTTTGATAGCGTGGAGGGTGTTGTATCCGCTGTGGAAGAGTCAGTGGTTGTTGTTGTTTATTTGTTGCTTCAATCCTATTATTGAGGAACGCACGCTAATCCACGGTTCACCACGTCCAGGCGGCGGGCGTAGGCTACAAGGTATCAATATACGCCAGTACATAGAGGGGATTGGGGATTGATTGCCTACCATTCTGCAATGCTGGAGAGAAGCCGAATCCCATGTCCTGGGCATTGGAATATTCGGTGATGGAGTCGCCGAAGAGGAAGAATTGGTCGTAAGGCGTGTAAACGCCTTCTTCCTCGGCAGCTGCAACGGTGTTGGACATTGTGGTGTATAGTGATGGTGCGCTTGTCTAGCAAAAAAGTGTCTATGGGAAGGTGAAAGAAAGATGAAGAAAGTAAATTGGTGAGTGCGGAGACTCTGGCGGGCGGAGGGGCTCGCAGTATAACAGAAAGCCCGATAACCGATAAACGGAGGGGCCGCTGTTGATCAGTTTCTCCACCAACGAGCTGGTCCAATTTTTTTTTAAAAAGCTTCTCAAAATTAAGGTTGGGTCAGTTCAACAATTTGTTTGATTGTTATATACACAAATGTCTTCCGTTGAGCGACAGCATCATCTACACGAAGATGTCCCAAGTGTCAGGGCCATTACAGCTCTCTGCACTCCCAATTTTCCGCAGCGTTAATATCTCCCGAGCCTCTGTATCGAGCCTCGGCAGGATACACACACAATGGGCGCTGACGATATACACCCTCTTCCGGAATCTTGTCATTCACAAACTTCGTCGCAATCAACTCATTTGGACTGGTTCCATTTTCCACCCAGTTCATCATGGCAAGGACTACATCATGTTTTGCATCCTCATACCCGGGTACACTGTGGACGTTCCCACCGCTCCCGAGGCTGGAAGACTGACCGTCTCCTGCAATGACCCAAGGGGCATTCATCAAGTCCGACGTGCCTCCGCAGTGACTGGGAATGTCAGTAACTGGCTATATGACTCGAAGTACGGGGTTAGACTTACCCCATTCCGGGAATTAGATAGAAGCGATAGAAATCATCCGGGTTTATTCCCTTCGGCCGTAAAGCATTGATAACCTGGTCATAGAAATATATGCTCGATCCCGCAGCGATAGACCAGTCTGACCAGCCGTGATAATGGAGAAGCTTGCCTCCCTTTTTATAGAAAGGGGAGAGGTCGTAGTCATCGGTTGTGGCATTTCCAGGGTTCAGCTCATCTGATAACTTGATCAGTTCGGGGTTCCAATCCTCCCATCTCCAGTCATCGCCCAGCTGGAGCATCCATTTGACGTAGTCAGTACCCAGTCTCGAGGG